TGAAAAGTTCGTTAACAGAAGCGTTTGTAACCCGAGGTTCCACTGTAACTACTAAAGGTCTGGAAAAGAGATGCATTGTTACAATTTTTGTAAATGCCAGGTAAGGGCCAAGCACAATTCCCAAGACAGTACATTTGTATAGCTTGGGAGCAATGCAGAAGAAAGCCCCATATCTTGAAATTATATTGTATTTATTTATTTGTCAGATTTATATTCTGCCTTTCTCCCAGGAACATCCCCTTCCTCTCAGGTGGATTGGATTGAGAGAGAGTGACTGGCCCAGATTCACCATGTGAGTTTCTATGGCTAAAGATGAACCTGAACCTAAATATCCCACAGACTTAGTCCGACCTTAACCATTACATTCCACTGGCTGATACAGTATACATAAAGCTCTACTGGGTAATCATTGATGAATTACCACCAAAACATCCATAGATGGATACCTATCTGAATGTACAAGAACACAGTTGCAACATGAGTACAGTAGTATAAACTTATTATAAAAATAGGCTGTTATACCTTTCAAAATGCACAGCATCCAGTGATATTAATAGAAACTGTTTTATATGCTCAGCCAAAACTCAGCTAAGTGCATAATTAGACAACTACTAACCGGGAAAAAAAACTTCTTAATTTTGGTTCCTGCAGCAAGGGCCCCTGCCGTCTCGTCCTTAAGAATCCGACCAAGAAAATTTTTCAAATTAGAGTTTTTCTGGGTTAAAAATGCTGCCATGATTGCTCTTGCAATAATAGTGTTGTCTTCTGTTATTTTTGAAGTAGGGTTATTCACAATCCCAAGCTGAATATGACTGCTGGTTTTCTGTAAAACAAATATAGGTTATAAACTGTGGTTTATTAATATAGCTAATGTTTGGACTTAAATCCTTCTCTTTCTCTTTTCACTCTTTCTGAACAGATGAACAAACACCTTTATTACAGTGAGTGAAATACACACATACACACAGTGTTTTGTGGCAAAATTACAGATCAGGTAAAAGTAAAATTTTCTAAACAAATTGGAAATAATGAAATAGAGCAAACTAAAACATACTATAAATACAACTACTACAATATAAAACAATTAAGTTAAAACTAAATCACTACAGTAAATTATAAAAAAAATACTTGGGGACTAAAATACTAAACTACCAAGTGAATAAAGCACTTTGTGTACTTAATTACTTAACACTAAAATGCTGACTTAATAAGCTGCTAAAATATTAAAAGACTGAAATACTTAGAATGTGATCAATCACTTTATTACAGAGACTATAAATCTGTGTTTCACCATGATTCTTCATCAGTCATGTCCTATTTCCAATACAACATAAAAAGACTCCACTAATATCAACAGGGCAATATTTTGTGGGGGGAAGTTCAGCTTTAGCCACAATTGCATATTCTAAACCAGGTTGTTACTGCCTTTACAGTGCCTCGGAAAGAGGACTGTGGTTTGGAAAACACTGCAAGTTCAGAACATCTACACATTTTTCCAATATCTGGAAAACAGATAGCTAGCTCTCCTATTCATCCAATATTTGTTACTAAAAGAATGAAGCTCTGCAACAAAGGTAAACTGGGTCCTAAAAATTCAGCGGTTGAAATTTCTGGAGAAGCCTTTATGAAAATCTTGTTTGAGAATTACTCAAACTGTCAGGAGCTGAACACAAGCCCTGTTTCAACCACAGGGAGGCCCACCTTCAAGCACAGCCTGCAGCTGATGCAAAACATCCCTCTGTGAAGCAGGCGCTTCTTTGTGGCCTGGGCTGCCCTACAGAAAAGACCTACATTGCACCTGACCATCGAAAAGATGTAAAACCGGATCCAAAATCATTGGAAGTTTAAAACAGAGATACCCTTTTTATGGGACTAACGTATGACTTCACCTGGGATACCTACCTGCCGTAGTTAACATTTTGCCTTTGAAAGAACCAGAGCATGGGAGCAGTATTTGTTTTCTTAAGATTCAGAAAGGCTGAGAAAAGAAAATAGTCTGGCATCCAAGTTTAAAAAGCAATTGTTTACTTTGCAAGTATCAGATACAGTAAGTAGATATTTATTTTAAAGCACAAGATTGCTCCCTGCAGAATAAAAATACAGAAAACACAGAAACAGCAGAAATTCCAGTCCATACTCTGAATGTCAACACTAAGGTGTACAGTCAGGGCAGGAATCTTATTGTCCCTACAATTTATATCTTTCGCTTTCATAAAGGAAGAATTTTTGTTCTAATGTTTTCTTTACAAGAAAACGCATGTGTGTGGTGATAATGCAGAACTACCAAAACTCTCCTGTCCTCTTTGTTTCAATTACAGAGAATTTTCTTTGGTTTCTTAACCAAAAGCTTCTATTGGCAAAATTTCCTTCTTTGGGTATTACAAATACGTAATCACTGTCATATGAAATAATTTTATCCAGTAATTAAACTTTTCACAAGGTTTTTTTTGTGCTGTAAAACTTTTATTTGAGGAAAGGACAGAGGTGTAGTTGCAATCATTTTGTAGCACATATCTCCCATTATTTATATTTCCAACCTCATTCTTCTCCAAAATTGGCTGAGGAAAATTATTTATATGATGTAGGCACAGGACTTTTAAAGAACTGACCAGGTGTTTCAGTGCAGTAGAAAGCAACTGCCTTCCATCTGGCTTGTCATAATCAGCCACAATCCATATGGTTACTGGATAGATTAACGCATCATCTGAAAAAAAAAAAAAAAGGCAAGAATTTTTACTGTTCAATATAGGTGATCAAAATGGAAAATGTAACAGCAGAACAAAAATGTAGATTATTGTAAGAATAGGCAGAAGGTTGACCAAAAACTATTGGTAGACTTCCAAGTGATCCACAATACTCACACAATACTGAAAAATGGATCTTAATATGGGTGGCTTTAGAGCTGTGTGGTACTGGATCCCAAGCATGGAATTCTTATTTTTGTTAAATCACAATGATTGGCAACTTTAAAAAAAAAATCTGTAGCTGAGGGCTTTGCTCCCACATCCCTTTTTTAGCTTTAAAGTAAAATGGGTACACACAACCATCACACCAGCACACAATCTCTAAAAACAAAAGCAAAATAGAAAAATATATTTATTGTATTCCATTAGCAACTAAACTAATAATAATAAAGTGTTGTGTTTTATAGTCATAATATATAAAAGCTTTAACACATAAATACTTTTTATGTAAGCTGATTATTCCTTAAAGACAGAGATGCCATTCAGATAGATAGACACAGTGCTTTTTCATCAAATGCATTCATTGACATTTAAATCTGTTTCCCATACTCTTAATTAAACCATGTATCTTTATAAAAAACAAAGCCACTGACTGGCAGTGAAGTATAACGACTTTTACAAAAACTAACATTATTTATAGAAGCACATTAAAAATCATGTAACTATAGTTAAGATAGATCCCTGCCACTCTGCAGCAGAAGCAAAACCATGACTGCACTGAATATTGGAATTCTTTTTCAAAAAAGCAGATCTGGCTTATTTATTTTACTAGGCTTATATGCTGCTCCAATCATAGCCCAACCAATCCTATCATCCATAAACAGGATTCATGCAACAAAAATATAATCCAAATACATAGTAATCATTAACCCTAACAAAATGATAGCAACCTTTTCCTATGCTGAGGAACCAAAACAACTAATCCTCTCATCAATATTCATACACAGAGTCTAAATTTATCTTCCCTTAAAATCCCTGTAGGTGACATTCTTTATAAGATGGAACGTAGAGGGGGCCTACTTTTCCTAATAAAATTGGGTGGGCAGAATCTACTGGGAGGTGATCCTATAGATATCAAGACTCTGAGCCTTGAAGGGCTTTTAGGATAACCTGTACCTGGAAGCTAATCAGTCACCAGTGAAGCTCTTAAAGTAGAGGTGTTACACAGGTAAACTGAGGTGTGCCTATAACTGTTTAAGCTGCGGCATTCTGGACCAGCTGTACTTTCTGAGTGGTCTTCAAGGGTAAACCCATGCAGAGGGCATTAGAATAATCCAAATGGAAGATGATTAAGGAAACAGTAGTGGTGAGAAGTGCCTTTTGCCTAGAAAAGGTTATAACTGGCACACTAGATGAATCTGTGCATAGGCACTCCTGGCTGTAGCTGCCATCTGCTCTTCAAGCAGGAGCTGTGAGTCCAGCAGGAGCCTCAAATTATGAACCAGTTCAGTATGGGAAAGCAATATCCCACTTACAATCAGAAATACAATCTTCCTGGAATCAGATGGGTTCTGAACCCATGGCCACTTTGGTTCCCTGGGATTAAGCCCAAATGTGTTCCTCCCCACCCAGATTCTAGTAGCCTTCCAGTACTACAACAGCACTTAATGGCATCCCCTGTTCAGCCTGGGGATGAGATGTACAACTGGACATCATCAGCATCTTGATGATACCCAACCCTCCGCTAATGCAGGAACTTTCCCAGTGGTTTCATGTAGATATCAACCATCCTGGGTTAAAGCAACCATCCTGGGGTCGCATGAACTATGGTTAATAATTGTATCTGTAAATATAAGGTTTTATTATGTTATAATTAGTATGAATACAGAATCTGTAATAAGATTAAATGTAACAAAACTTACCTTGCCTTGTAACATAGTTCATGTTTTCAGAAATAACGAAAGTTTTATCTTGAGAATCCAAGAAGGAAAATGTTGAATAGTCATTTGTATCTACAGGAACTGCAAAAATTCAAGATGTGGCATAACATCAAGCATGATACCAAAATGAATTTTCCACAAATAAACGAGAGAGAAGAAAAACAGAATTTAGTTTACCTGATGGGGATTCAAAATTCAAGTATCTTTTTTCATCACCAAGAATTCTGTCATTTATATGAGAAACTATATTCTGTTGCTCCATGATGAAATCAACTGCATCTTTATGATCATTTAGCAAGCCCTGTAACCACAACAGCAGTTTAATTTCCACAGCATCAACAGCTTTACAATAGAGCTTCCCGTTAACCTGAGATAAGGGTATGGAACCCCTGCTGGATGGAATGGGTATCTTAGCTTAGCCTGGTTTTGCCAAGTCCTCTTGTCCCTTGAGAGTTACCTTCTTTCTTGCAGCACAGAGACCAACAGTTAGAGAAACCCCAGAAAACTGGAGTTGTTCAAGCCACTGTTTTTTTACCTTCCCTTCAGAAGAGCAGAAAGAGATAGGGAGTAACCAAGTCTTTCCCAACCCCACCTGCAGTAGCTTCAGCCCCTCTCTAATCAACGAGGCAAGGAAAATGACAGCTACCCAGTTACTGCAGAGTAGCTAGTTAGCAGCCAAACTGGCCATTCTCTAGTAAACTGAGGCAATTCCTTGATTTGTCTGATACTGAATCAACAGGTAAGTCATTTACCCACTGATGATGCCAAATACAGCCGAGCACCTACAAACTATTGTGAATGATAAAGCATGGTTTATTGTTTAATGTGTGAGTCAGCTGTGACTTACTCAGCAAAATATGATGGAGCAAGCTACAGCTTAGCAGATCATGAGAAGTGGGTTTTATTTCTGACTTAAATATGAAGGAGAGAATTCAATATTTTCTCCTCTTACATCACCTTAAATAGAACATTTTATATATCCATTTCTAAAGGGTGCAACCCTTATATATGGGCAGAAATCCTAGAAATAGGTATCTGTTATTAATCCTTTATTTACCCAAAATCTATCTTCAAACCATGGCTCCAGTCATCTTAAAATATAACAAGTACATAATTAAATTCTAAGGTACGGGTAATCATTATAGATTAAGCTTCAAAATCACGACTACAAATTAAGATAATTAGATTTTTGCAACATTAATTCCAAACCACCTCATTATAAAATAAGTATAATATAAACAAACCAGAAGCAATCTATTAGCCCATATTTCATTGCACATTCCAGTCTTCTAGAGGAAAAAAAATATATACCATGAACACTGCCCGCTGAAAGGCCTCTGTGGCATCCATGATCTTCAGCAGAGAGGTCTCTAGTTCTGCAATATTCATCTCTTTTCTGTTAAAAGGCACACCATTAAAAAGAGCTTGAGGCAATGGGCCCAGGCCAGTCTTCTTATAAAACATTGCTCCTGCCTAAACAAATCAGGGATATCACAGTTACACAGAAAGTAGCTGACTGTGGAAAAAAAGGGATTAATATGAAGAGAAAATAAACTCAAAGCGTCCATATACTGCCTATTGGAAGAGCAAAATGGTTTATTGTTCCCTTTCAACAATATTCCCCAATCTGATGCCTCCAGATATATTAGACTACATAACCAAGAATTCCCAGCCAGTGTAGCTTAAGATAAGTTTAAGAATGGTACCAGATGAAGGAAGGCTGCCTTACAACCTACCAGAAAGCAATTTTTGGGGGTGGGGAGGAAAAGCTCTGGTTTCCCAAAACAATGTATGACAATAAGAACAATCAACTAGGACTCAAGCTTTTGTTTAGATCAACATGGCTTAGTCCAAGAAATATTACAATTATATAATTTTCTGATCTCTGAGATCAAGATGCTATTAAAAATTCTCTGAAGATATTTCTGATCATGGCCATTCCCAGCTAAACTGTCCCTTGCTATATGGATACTATGGGATATGAATTAGGGGACAAATAAATAATGAACTTCCTCAAACATTTACCACCCCAAACAGCAATTTCAGTGCCAGACACACAGAATTAGTTGACTTAGGTCTTCACTTATGAAGACATCAGGCTATTGATCTTTTAGTTCATTTTTGTATTTCATTTTGCAGCTTTCAACTCTTTCTACCTTTCTCTTATGATCATAATCAGAGTCAACACCCAGAATTTCCTCCATATCAGCATGAGGAAACTGTCTACGAAGAACACGCTTCACATGGTCCACTGAAAGCACACCTCCATCTTTTACTTCATGATACATCTAATTGAAGAGAGCAAGAGGGAGATAAATGATATAATCTATTCTACTGTTAGAATACAATAGAATATATGAAATAATATTTAAATTATTTTTGGTTTTTATAATTCATACTATAAATAGTTTTTAAAGGCTCCTATCATCCAATCACTGGTTCATCTTTATTAGCCAGTTTTCAACAGTATTATCTTCAACCAACTATACTTCAGTGCACTCTCACTCTTAAATTCATCCATCAGATTCATTTCTGTATTCTCTAAGGAAAAGGAAAGAAATGATGCACAGATGAAACTAGTATTTATTTTCCACACCAGCCATGAAATGAGTCAAGCAACCAAGACAAATATTTACATTCAACCAGACCAAAAATATTAGTAAATTTCTAAATATGTAGCCATATTAAAGCTTTCATAGCTAAGTGAGAAAAATCTATTTAAGTTAAGACAAGTGTGGAGTGTACAATCTCACAGTTCTAAATTAACCACTAATCAAGTTAGATTAGAAACTGAGACATTTCTATAATTGGCATACAATTCTGGAACAGTCTTAGAAAAGAATGGATTCTTGCTGGCTTCAAGATGTCTAAAATTAAGGAGCTCATACTTAATATTTTATTCCATTGCTTCCATTTTGCCTGAAACAGACTGGAAATTTTGTTTTAAATTTCAAATATCATCAGTTCCCATCCTGTTCTAGGACCATGTTATTCAATTAGATAACATTTGTTTCTCTAAAATCCATTTGCTTACTGTTTTGTTCTGAATTCCAAATGCCCCAAAATAGTCCTTTTACAATTTATAAAGATTTAAATGAATTACTTGAAGATAAAAATTCCTTCCAAGGTAGGCCAAATATTTATCTTGATGATGTGCCAGATGCTTCTAGGAAGCTCATGAGCAGAGTACAAGGCAAACCATCAACCCATCGGTGTTCTGGAATGGGAATGCAGTAGCCTATGACTCCTGAACTCAGATATTCAGCAATCACAGCTAGCAGTTACTACCAGTGGAATCTTTAACAAAATATTATTGTAATATCTTTATTCTCCTTAGAAAAGGAATCTTATTCAGATGGTACCCAGTCAACCATATTCTCCTCCAGAGAAAAAGGCTCACACTGGCTACCCTCCCTACTATTTTTCCACATTGAGATGACCTTGCATATGTCCTGAAAACAGGCTGCTCTGCTTTGAAGGAGCCATCTCTTTCTTTTTGATCTTGTACCCCTCAAGGTGCACCAGTGAATGTTGAAACTTGGTTTCCAGTGGTCTCATTTTGATTCTAATCCTGTCAGCGCTCAGCTACCTGAATTCACTGTTACAAGAACTGATAGCCTGAACAGCCATCAAAGCCCATTTTAAGCCATCTCAAATAGTGAATATTAGTACATCATATAGTAGCAAAAATACATTGCACAAAGTACTTTATTTTGTTGGCCCTGAATCTGCTGCAAGCAAATTTCAGTGGACAATCTCAAGCTTTATACAATCATGAGATTCTCATATTACTGATTTAAATCACCTTTTCTACCCATTTAGAAATTCAATCAGAACTGTGCATTTACTCAGTGGAAGGACTATGGAGTGTCTTCTTGCTGTAATTCCACAGCCCTCCTTAAATTTTATATTGTCTTAAAAAGACCAAATCAGCCCACTCTACTTACTTACTTACTTACTTGGTCCTCCCTGAATATTTAGGTGGGCCACATGCCTGGACCTTATAAAAAGAACTACTATGCAGGTTTATACAAAAGACATTTAAATGCTAGCAGTTTTTCATACCCTTATCTAATTCAGACCCTAGCACAGATACCCCATTCCCTTCTGCCCAGGATTAATTTCTCTCTTCATTTAGTTTCATACATTGCCCATTGCCCATTGAATTCTTGGAATTCAAGAAGATATGCCTCCATTTGGGGCCCGCTTAGTTTAAGTTTCCTTTGCTTTCACTTTTAATGTATTCCCTACACACCTTAAATATGTAACACTTCCTGCCTGTGCATCTCAATTTACATACTCCATGATTCTACATGAGGGATTTTTATCTTGGGTAAGTTTTGGCAATGCTATATTATGGCTATTTTGCATCTCTAAGAAAGTAACTTAACTTAAGCTAACTTAAATAAAGCAATATTTTAATCTCCTTACAAACACTAACATTAATTACGGAGACAAAAGCTTGAGGGATATCCACTTCCTCTGCAACATAGTTAAAAGCTCTCCATAGGGCAACTCCTGCATCCTCATTTCCATCAACCACTTTATCAGTATTTAAGATGAAAACAAAGCCAATTCTGTTTGGGAAAAAGAAAAATATTGTAAGAATGGCAAAAGTGCATACAACTGCACTGAAAGCAGATCAAATACAACTACACTGAAAGCAGATTAAAATATGTCACTCAGGCCTTCATCAAGAAAAATATGTGGTAATATTCCAACAAGATTCAAAAATATTAAAATGAACACAAACTTAACATTTTATACCAATCTAATGTAATCTAACCTTACATTATATTAAGGTAAAAATTAATGTAATCTAACCTTTGACAATATATATCATACCAAACCATAGTTTGTTCAAATTATCGATTAGACCCGTACCATGGTTTGAATTTTCAAAATTACAAGAGGTAAACTATTTGGGACTGGTTTTTTTGTGTGTTCTTTATGAATGTATAAATTCACTCTCATCTTCCTCAACACTTCTCAGTTTTACTGTAATGAATTCCTATAGGCACTATCTCTCTAGCTGTAACTCTGAAATGGATGAGCCATTTTGTTAAGCTGTAAGATTAACAACGTGCCCAATATTGCTGAAAGTGGTTGCAGGTTCCCAGGATGATTTGCTCCTATCCAGTTCCCTATGTTTTAATTTGATTTGGTTGTACACAACTGGAAATATAAGTATGCAAAAATTATTTACATACATACACATACATATACAGTGGTACCTCGGGTCACGAACACTTCTGTTCACGACCAATTCGCATCACGAACAGCTCCGTTTGCAAAATTTTGCCTCCGTTCGCGAACGCCGGATCGGGTGACGA